CCCCGGGGAGTGTGAGGAGGGGGCAGAGGGAGGGGGAGAGAGGGAGGGGGAAAGAGGGACGGGGAGAGAGGGAGGCGGAGTGTGAGGATGAAAGTGTGAGTAATAGGAGGAGGGGGAGGAGGGGGAGTGGGGAAGGGGGGGTGAGGCGAGGACTGCGTGGCCCCACCTGAAGATGCCTCCCTCGTACGGCGACCCGGCCGGCCCCTGGATGATGACTGAAAAGTAGCGCAAGTTGTCCGAGTATGGTGTCGCGCTGATGCCGGGCGCTGCGGCGGAATCGGCAAGGGTGAGGGGGGTTGCGGGAGAGGGAGAGGGTAGGGGTAGGGCTGGGGATGGGGGTGTTGGTGAGGGTGAGGGTGAGGGCGAGGGTGGGGGTGAGGGAGAGAGGGCGAGGGGTGAGGGAGAGGGTGAGGAGACTGGTGGTGTGACAGCGCGGGAGCGACCGGCGTTGTATGAGAAAATTGCCGTGGGCGGGTGGGAGGCGCGCCTGGCTCAGAGAGCAGGCGCTGCGTCTCCTTGACGATCCGTCGAGGCAGGAGCGATTGGTCCGCCATGGCGTATCTGCTCGAGGCACGGAAAAGGTCGGCGCGCGCGCGCGGCGGGCGTCATCGGGCGGCTGGGGGTGGAGGGAACGGCGGGGGCGGGGGACGGTGCGGGCGGCGCTGGGGCGGCGGACGGCGCGGGGATCTGGGGAGAGAACGGGCACGGCACGGCGCGCGAGAGGGCACATCGAGAAGACGTCTGGAATGGAAACGGCGGACGTGGCCTTGCGCCGGACGGAGACGCTGGCACTGGAGCGGGCGTGGAGAGGCGGCGCGGGCGGAGGAGCGGCGGCTCGGTTTAGGGCAGGGGAGGGGGGGGCAGGGAGGGTGTTGTGCGGAGAGAGCGGAAGCGCCTTGGCTCACGGCTTGTTGGCGAGCTTGTTGGTCAGGGGCGGCGCTCTGAAAAAAAGAAACACCAGGAGGCCATCCGCCACCTCCACCGCCGCTCCTTGCTCCGATACGACGAATTTGAGACGGGGGGAGAGCTGACGGACGGCAAAGGAAAGCGAATTAAGATGGGAAAAGACAGTGAGCCGCTGCGGTCGGGGAAGGGACGAGCCCTGAACGTGAAAGTAGCGCAGACATGCCTCGCGCTGCACGTCTCACACCAGTTCACACACTTTGCGGCGACGGACGGAGGAAAGGACCATGAGGACAAAATGGCGGAGGATGGAAAGTACGTGCCGAACCCTAGGGTGGCGTACGGCGTGTTCGAAGGACCGACACGATTCGGAAAGAGCGTCCCGGGGGACGCACAGGTAAAGGATCCCAACGGAATCGGACCCTGTGAGGAAGGGGAGATACGGACAGCGTTTGGGGCGGGAATGTGGGGAGGAAAGCTCCCGAACATGTGGGAGCCGATAGACGCGGAGATGTACGCGATACTCGCATTTGGAAGCTGTGACACCGACGTACTGGCCAGCGTTGTGCACGACGGCACCGAGCGCGTGAGACCCTGCGAACGTCTTGTCGTAGTGGGCAAAGATGGCGTCGCGCGTGGACTCGAGCGAAATATCTCCGCCGATGTGCTCCGCCGAGCATCCGTACTCCGAGCGAAGCTCCGCAGCAGCCTTCTCCGCCAAAGTCGCGTCCGTGTTGTACGTCATGAGCAGATCGAAGCCGCTTGCTGCGAGCGCCTCACAAATGCCCCTCCCGACCCCGCGCGTGCCACCTGTGACGATGGCGGCGCGCGGCCGCGCTTTTGCAAGCATGGTGGGAGCAAGGGTGCACAGGAGCATGCTCTGTGACAGAGAAGGTGCGGAGCGGAGTGGTTCCCAAAGAGTGTGCGTCGCGGACCTGCTCGCTACGACGGCACCTAATCTGCAAATGCCGGCGAGCGCCGCCGAGATGCAGGGGTTGCCGTCGTTGTCTCTCCCTGCGAGCGAGCGAGCGCCAACGTTTCAGGAGGCCTCTCTCTCGGTCGCCGACGCTGCATACCCGGTGGTCAAGGGCCTGACCTCAAGGGCCGTCGCGCCGCTCGCTGGTAGAGCGGTCACGCTTGCCGCGACCGGCGATCCAAAGGAGATCATCAAGACCATTGATGCGGGCCTCGACGCGTTCCTGTCGGTTCCTCCCGACCGCTTCTTTTCCACCGTGCGCTCTCTCAAGGCGGCCACTTCCGCAGCCGCGAAAGCTCCGTCCTGCAACCTCATCTGCATGCCTCCGGTGAGCAGCGTGGAGGACGTGGTCGCAAGCGCGTCCGCCATCTCGGTTACCAGCCCGGACAAGCTCAAGGCCTTCGCCTTCCAGGGCGTCATGTCGCTCGCCTCTGGCGACAAGCAGCAGTGCACTCAGGTCCTCGCCGAGACGCTCAAGTTCTCGCTGTCACTCAACAGGCGCCCGCCACTGCCTCTTCCACCACACACTGACATACGCCAGGGATCCTCCCACACACACGCCCCGCCTCGCCAATCCTCTTCGCCCAGCTCTGTCGCGCCCGCGGCAGGGACGAGCTCGTCCGGCTCAAGGACAGCATCGGCGCGCTCCTCTTTGCGATCGACAATGCTGCGCAGGCCGCCGCGCCTCCCGTCAAGCTGCCGGCCGTCAAGACCTTCCCGAAGAATTCGCGCATCGAGCAGGCCGGCCTCGAGCTGGCGGACGGGCTCTACCCGATAGTCGGCTCTCTCGAGGCCAAGGCTGTTGGCCCCCTCGCCGGCAGGGTCGTCACCCTCGCCGCCACCGGAGGCACACGCGGGAGGAGCACACACGAACGAGGTGTAGCACGTGCACCGGTGGCAGGCTGGGGCCTCACGCGCGCAACCTGGTTTGTGGAGCTCCCACACCTGTTCTGACAGAGACCTGGCCGTTCTGACAGCGTTCTGACAGCGTTCTGACAGTGTTCTGACAACGTTCTGACAGCGTTCTGACAGCGCAAAATCCTCCCCTCTCTTCACAGCTCAGGGGCTCTGACATTCCCAGTTGCCCTGCTCCTTCCCTCTTCCTGTTTTCAAGTCTCCCTCCCTCCGACCGAGCCACGGACGGACGGACTCACTCAACACACACACACGCACACAGTCACACACAGCACACCCTCCCAAGGCGACACTCTCACGGTGAGGCGTAGGCCCTGTTCTGACACAAACTTAGTCCCCGTTCTGACACAAACTTCAACTTTCAACTTCGAGCCAAGTTCTCCTGTTGAAAAAAGAAATGACAGCACCTCGCTGCCGCGAGAGAGTCGAGCGCGCAGCAACGGTCGTCCGTTGTCAGGGTGGCAACGCCAAGGCCGCCATGCCGCTGTATAGCAAACGTGCTCTTGCGATGGTCAGCAGTGCACACAGCCCCGCGACGCAAACGAACCGCGGTCCGCGGTCCCAGGGGCTACCGGTTCGACGCAGCACAATGGGCAAAGCGCGAGCCCGGCGGTTCAGTCAGGCTGGAAGGCTGCATCCAAGACGGCAGCCTCGGTTATTGCGCGACTGAACGTGTCGCTTGCGCCGCCGCCGCGCCGCTCAATGTGTCACACCCTGGCAAACGAATCACCCTTTCACTGCAACACAACAGCAACACAACGAGTGAAGACTTCAGCTTGGACTTGCCTGACCGGACTGCCTCGGGCTGACTGCTCTTCGGCCGATCTTGCAGATGTTCACACTTGGCCCGCTTTCGCGTGCTGGCAACGTGCTGACAGTACCCTACCCACAAACGTGTTCTGACAGCGTTCTGACAGCGTTCTGACAGCGTTCTGACAGTGTTCTGACAGCGTTCTGACAGCCGTTCTGACAGCTTTCCGACGGTAATTTACAGTTAAGGCTCACCATCTGGTCTGAATAGAGGAGCGCGATGGCAGTGTCGGTTATAGCAGAAAGATTCCTGCATTCGCTCCACTACAAAAAAAGTCCGGTGGGGAACCGACATCCTGGCCCCGAATGCCGTGCTCTCTAGGTAAGGTGTGGGAGCTCCACAAACCAGGTTGCGCTTCCCCTCCCCGGACCACGCAGACCCCAAAGAGATCATGAAGACCATCGACACAGGCGAGCCGGCCAGGGCGCCAGGCTCGGCCTGACGCAGCGGTGTTCACACCGAGCCGAGCCGAGAGCGCCGAGCCCGTAGGCCTCGATGCCTTTCTGTCGGTGCCGGCGGGCCGCTTCGTCGCCGCCGCCCGCGCGTTCAAAGCCGCGACGGCGGAGAGGTAGGGGGTCGGATGGCCAACGCACTGGTCTGCGTGCCGCCCCTCGCCACCGTCGAAGAGGTAGCGGGTCGGATGGCCAACGCACTGAGCGTCACCGACTCGACCAAGCTCAAGGTTTTCGTCTACCAAGCCGTCCGCTCCATACAGTCGGGCGACCCGCAGCAGCTCAAAGCGGCCGCTGCCGAGGCGCGCCGATTCGAGGCGTCGCTCAACCAGGCCGAGGTGCGGCGCGTGACGCGCTCCGTCTTCGACTTGCTCGACGCGGCGGGCGCGGATCTCTCGCCGTCAGAAGTGGCGTGGGTGAACGGGTTTGTTGGGCTGACGTAGCGCTAACGTTGGGCTGATTGATCATGCAATTACCAACAAAGAAGCACGACGACCGCTTTTTCCGGGGTCCGGGCGCCCCAGGCCCAGCGCCCAGCCCCAGTCCCGTGGCCCGTGCTCAGTTGATTGATAGGAAGGCGAAACACAGTCCGACCAACGAGCAACGACTGGGACACCAACGCGGTATGGGTGGACGCGCCCTGTGTCATAAATAGAACGGACACACCAAACAAGGGGTGGGAGAAGGACAGGGTGGTCCCCACCGACAGGCGACAGCGCCGCGCTGCTCGACCTCGAGGCCGAAGACGCAGTGATCTCACGACAACGTCGAAAAAGAAAAAATGAGGGAGATGCATATGGCTCGGAGCGACCTTCTTTCACACCTCGGCGATGCTGGACTTGGGCAGGATGAGGACATGCACATGCACAACATGACATGTACATGTGCACGTTGTGTGTGCCAGAAGAAGAATTTCAAAGCACAAAGGGCTAGTTCCAATTCACTCTGACACGCTAATCTTGAAAACGCGTCCAACGGAGCTCCGTGTTGCTCCCAGCGGAATCCCCCGCGCTTCCTGCGGCCATGGCCGATGATACTAGTATGAGAGGTCATCTGGCTACCGCGAGCGCGACTCAACTCGCCGACGTCGTCCGATGATTGTGCCTCAAAGTCAGCCTCCGGAGGCTATCGTGGGGTCGAGCCGGCGGTAGCCGTGACATGTGGTTCCACCACCCCTCGCAGGCTTTGCCTCTGACCGCCACCGTTCCCAGGCTGCCTAATGGGATGGAAAGAAAGGCTGGGCGAGCGTATAGAAGCGTGCTCGACCTCGTCTTGGCAACCTGCACGGCACCGCTGGTGGGCGCGATGAGCGTCGTTCCACCTGACCCGAGACGGGTCGCAGGCGTCGTACCGAGCGCGTCGAGACCGTGTCCTGATGTGATCTGCACGGGTGAGTCACGTCGGCGTCAAAGGAGCGACGTGCGACCTGTCAGAGCTTGATCTCCGATCTCAGCGGCGTCGAGTCGTCTCCGGCGCGCGACAAAGGTACATACCCAGGACGCGCAGAGGCAGCTG